TTTGTCTTCTCCATCTAGCCCTGCGGCCGCTGGTTTAAACTGCATGCCCCAGGACCTCCTAGTCCTTTTTCTGCCTAGCACGTGTCTCAATGAACCCTTACTTTCAGAAAAGCTTTGAGCAGCAAAGGTTTTTGTTTAACAGTGTACAATGTAATCATGTGATCCACTTGTATGTTGTGAAATGATTACAATAGGGTTAGGATTGGCCCGTTTCTTTTTAATTTGGGGCGGGGAGGGGGGTTAATCCTCACCCGATGATATTTTTTCCATTGATTTTTAGAGAGTGGCAGTGAGGGGAGAGAGAGAGAGAGAGAGAGAGAGAGAGAGAGAGAGAGAGAGAGAGAGAAAGAAACATCGATGTGAAAGGCTCATGGATTGGTTGCTTCCCACTCTCACCCTGACAGGGACCAGGGATCGAGCCTGCAACTGAGGTACACGGCCTTGACCGGAATCAAACCCATGACCCTCCAGTCCTTGGGCCGACGCTCTAACCACTGAGTAACTGGCAAGGGCGGGATTGGCCCATTTTTTAAATGTTTACATTTCATGATACACAGTTTAAAGTGGAATCTGTACTAAGCCCTATATCTTCTTTCCAAAACTGATGGCTCCTTACAAATTCCAATTATTTGAGATAAATTTGAGTTAAAGTGCCCAGTGGGACTTCTCTGGAACTTGATTAAGCTTGTTTGGAAGAAAAACATTTCCCTCCTTTCCTTTTTAGATTAGTTGACAGATCTAATACATAAAGATTGACATAAGACAAAAAAGAAAAAGAAAAAAAAACTGACATGACAGATTAACAGAAAAACAAATTTAATTCTGTATATACAGGGTGGGGCAAAAGTAGGTTTACAGTTGTCCGTATGGAAAATAATACAATGAATAAATAGTACAACAAGAATGAACTCTGTTTTGTGTGCTCACAACTGTAAACTTATTTTTGCCCTACCCTGTATGTACAGGAGCCCCACAAAGACAGCATCCAAGGTAGTCAGGCAATTTAGATTTTTATACCATCCTGAGCTAAGGAGAAGGTAGGGGTCTGGGATCTCAAAAGGGAGGAAGACAATTCACAGAAAGATAAGAAGAGCAGAACTTGGGTAAACAAATGTTTGCCGCAGCACGCAGATAAATCTTTCTGGTGTACAAAGTTGTCTCTGGTAGCAGCTCTCTCCCTGGTTGGTATAGACCCCCTTTTAAAATTCTTTTAGGCAGTTAATGGAGAAAACGCTTTTCTAGAGTCTGCTGGCTCTTAATTGCCTTCAGCTCAAAACAATCCACATGCGAAAGTGGCACATTATGGGGAGGCTATTCTGCTCCCCCTCAAGTTTTTACACAAGCCTTCACAATGACTAGAGTGAGGTGACTCTCTGGGAAGGCCGTGTGTGTGTGTGTGTGTGTGTGTGTGTGTGTGTGTGTGTGTGTATAAGCTAAACTGCCGAAGAGGAAAAGCAGAATGTTGGAACATGATTGCAACCCACAGTAATTCTGAATAGCATGTTTCAATTGTCACACACAGTCTCATATAACTGCTTCTTACCTGACAAATTGCTTTATTTTCTAAATGAATGCATCATTTTACTTACCACCAAGAGGAAATACATGTTCTAGGATGACCATGAGCAGAAGTAACATTTCACATCAAATGAAAATTACATCTTCTGCGGAGTTAAAGGCAACCTCCGCAATGGTTTTTATTTTAATTGAAACATATTTTCTATTTGTTTCTTGCTTGCTTTATTTTCTTCTGATGACCAAATTAATATCTGCTTAAAAGCATTTTGAAAGAGTAGAGGCCCTGGTTCATACAGCTCAGTGGTTAGAGCATTCGCTCACACACAGGTTCCATTCTCAGTCAAGGACAAGTATCTGGGTTGCAAGTTCCAACCCTGCCCGGTTCCCGGGGCACATGCAGGAGACAACCACTCCACGTGTCTCTCTCACTTCTCTTCTCTCCCTCTCTCCCCTCCCTCCTTCCCTTCCCCTCTATTTAAAAGTCAATGGGCCAAAACCGGTTTGGCTCAGTGGATAGAGCGTCGGCTTGCGGACTGAAAGGTTCCAGGTTCGATTCCAGTCAAGGGCATGTACTTGGGTTGCAGGCACATCCCCAGTGGGAGATGTGCAGGAGGCAGCTGATCGATGTTTCTCTCTCATCAATGTTTCTAACTCTCTATCTCTCTCCCTTCCTCTCTGTAAAATATCAATAAAATATATTTTTTTTAAAAATCAATGGAAAATATATACTCAGGTGAGAATTAACTAAAAATAAAAACAGCCCTAACCGGTTTGGCTCAATGGATAGAGCGTCGGCCTGCGAACTGAAAGGTCCCAGGTTCGATTCCGGTCAAGGGCATGTACCTGGGTTGCGGGCACATCCCCAGTAGGGAGTGTGCAGGAGACAGCTGATCGATGTTTCTCATCGATATTTCTAGCTCTCTATCCTTCTCCCTTCCTCTCTGTAAAAAATTAATAAAATATATATTTTTTAAAAAAAGGGTAGAATATTTACTCTGGCCGGTGTGGCTCCGTTGGTTGAGCATTCCTGGTTCAATTCCCAGCCAGAGCACCGGTTGTGGACTCAATCCCCATTAGGGGACGTGCAGGAGGCATCTGATAGATGGTCCTCTCACATATGTGTTTCTCCCTTCCTCTCTAAAATAATAAAAACACTTTCAAAAAAGATTAGAACATTTGACTTTGTGGGGTTTTTTTGCAAGGAACCTGTGGCTGACTTCATATAATTCCTGCAGCTTGTGCCACTTCTGAATTACAGGCTGTGCTTAGTTTTCCCAGGGGATCAGCCTGTGGGAGACTCAAAGTGTGACCTTCAGCTACGGAGCGAGCCAGGCCGAGGTTTCTAGGCCTCTTGCTAAAAGAGTTCTCCTGGGCCAAGTGGCGGGAGGGACCTGTCTGGCGGAGGGAGCTCAGACTTTGTCCTGACAGCCTCAGTACTGCCCGGGAGACAGTGCCCCCTCCGCCTCACCCAGTGTGTAACCCTGGCCCTCCTGACGTGTAGCCACGGACGACTTCCTCTGACAGGTCCTGAGACTCCTGGGCTATGGGGCCCGTAATACCATTCTTTCTCCAGGTAGCAGGACTGGCGATGTAATCTGCCGGACCCAGTGCAAAATAAAAATATGGGCTCCCCCTCACAGAAACTGCTAAGAATTGCAAGACAGCAACAGCAGACTCTTAACCCCAGTGCGGGACCCCTTCTGGCCATGTCCCCTGGTGACTGCATAGGTCACACGCCCATTAATCCGGCCCAGCTCAGAAACGGTACGGCCACAACTTGGAGCCTTTCTGTGTGCACTTTAAACACATTTCATGCTCTGAACCCCATTTTAATGATGAAGACTCTGGGGTTTTGTGAGGTTAAGTAACGTTCCCAAGGTCACCCAGCCAGTAAGCCCTGGAGGCTGGTTTCGCACTCTCCAGTCGGGCTTCCAGGGCAAAGGGTAGATAATTGTTTCACTTGTAACTGAGTCCATTGTAGCTCACAATGCCTTCTTGTTGTGGAAGGAGGGGACAGGAGCTTCCCAGATAAGCCGGCAGCTCAGAGCCAGGAAGAACCGCCTCCCAGAACCTCTTGTCTCTGAAAGTATACAACTGTTTCAAAGGCTTAACTGCCCCATCTCACAACCCAGCCTATACAGCCTTAGCCGCTCCTCATCAGTTACCCTCCAGTCCAGGCTGAGCTGTTTGTATGCTCCCCTACCCCTCCTTTAAAAACAAACACAGCTTTAAGGGGTTTACAGTCCTGACTTAAAAGAGCTCTGTTCTCCCTCCTCCCGCACCGCCTCACCTGCCCCTGCCCCCTGAACAAGCCTTCAGAACACCATTCTAGCACCAGAGCTTTGGGTCTCCCAGAGCTCCCCTGGCCAGGGTCCAGCAGAGCAGAGCACAAGGCAGGGGCGGCCAAGCGGAGTCCTGAAAGCTCACTGCAGAGCCCTCCCACGCCTCCGTGCAGACTCTTGCGAGGCATGAGGGTTGAATGCTTAGGAAGAGGGGGCTGAACCCCAAGGTCCCGGATGTGAAGGACTAGTGGAGGAAGGCGGTGAAGCCCAGCAGTGCCGCCCAGAGAAGGCAGCCGCCTCCAGTTTGGAGTTGATGACTGATACCTTCTGACTTATCTCAGGTTTTGCATACATTAAAAAAAAAAAAATCACTACTTTACTTTCACAGTGGATTTTACGGTGGCAGAACTTTTTACAGGTTCTCTATGAATGCACTATCATAATTCACAACACTTTTCAGGGCTGAATAACCAAATTTTGTTCACCTCATTGGAGAGAAAACGGAACACATTGATATTCACTATTTTTATTTCTGGTTCTCAATCAATCCTACATTTCCTGCTGGTCCTGAATTCTTGCGATCATTTACCTCTGTTCAGTCACAAGTAAAGTGCAGTAAAAGGGGTAGGGGCAATCCTGACCAGTGTGGCTTAGTTGGTTGAGCACTGTCCCGGTCAGGGCACATGCCCAGGTTTCGGGTTTGACCTCTCTCTCTCTCTCTCTCTCTCTCTCTCTCTCTCTCGTCAATTGAAAAAAAATTTTTTTTAAAAATACACCACCTTTTTAAAAAGGCGGGGGTGAGGGGCAGAAGCCACATGAATTGATGGAATAAAAATCTGCCGCACTGCTGGAATCTAAGACTGATGCAAAGAATTTCCATTTGTGGAAGCTGCTTTCTGCTTTGTGCCCCCGCTTCGAGGTATTAATCAGTGCACAAGACTCTCCTGAGTTTGTGTATACACAGCAAAATGTTCTCGATCTCTTCATTGTTGTTCTATGCCTCAAGAAAAGGTGTGCAAGCATGAACAGTGTGTGACCAGAAGCATGTCTGGCAAGGTGAATGCCAGTGAGAACCAACAGTTTGTGGATGAACTAACATTAACAAGAGGAGATCTAGCTTCTAAGATGTAGGTCTACAGGATAAAGTGAGCTTAGCCAGGATGGGCTAGGTAATGGCCCAGTAACACAAACCCCCACATCTTAGTGATTCAAACATCCAAGCTTTATTTTCTACTTCCAATACATGTCCGTTGTGGGCTGGCAGGGTGTCTCTTCCTATCACTCACTCAGGGTTTCGGGTTGAATGTTGCTAACTGCCAGGTGAAGAGAAAAAATGCTCAGGAAAACCTCACGGGCAAGAAAATGGCCAGAAATGACCCCTATCACTTCCACTCACAACTCATTGGCCACAACTAGCCGACTGCCTGAACTCGACCACAAGGGGGCGGGAAGTGCTGGAAGGTGAGAGACCTGGATTTCGGGGTAAACTGCTCTATTGGTGGGAAGCTGGAGGACAACAGGATGAATGTCCATAGAAGAGCAGGTGCTTTAGGAGTACGCCTGCCGGCTTGCTGTGGTAACATGAACTAACACGTCCAGCCTACGGAGGCATCCGAAACCTCAAATGGTTGCACAGCATGTGTGACCAGCTTCTTCAACAAGCAGGATACATTTACAGAGAAGTTCCAGGTCAGAAAGCCCGAGGCGGAGCACTACTCACTACCCTGACGACCCCCTAGAGCAGAGAAGGGGTTGGGTTTCAGATTTACAGGGGTTCCTGAGATGCAGCACTGTTAGTGGAGATGGGTAAACTGTTGCTACCTTCCCCGTGTCACTATCATCCAACATCACCCAGGAACAACCTCTTCCTTTGCTCTCAAAGGGAACATCTAAATTAAAGCTTAACTCGAAAAAATAAATTCAGTAACCCCTCCCCCAGTAGGGTATGTGTAATTCAGCTTGCTTGAATAGGGAAAGCTTATATGTAATCTACTTTAAGGGCCTTTCAACAGGTTCCTTAATTCATAAAATAGCATCTCAAAAAAAATAACATGTATGTAGCCTTAATAATATTAGAATTAATATTATTTTTAGAAGCACTATAAACTTAATTGTATAAATTCTATCATCAGTGGGTATTTAATTGCTTTACACTCAGAAAAGTTTCTGGGATGAATATCTCTCCATATCCACTGAAGGGATCAGAGTACATCACCCTAAATTTGCCACTTTGGCATACCGTATTTGCCGGCGTATAAGACGACTGGGCGTATAAGACGACCCCCTAACATTTCCACTCAAAATACAGAGTTTGTTATATACTCGCCGTATAAGACTACCCCCTCTTCCGCACACCTTCCACACACCAAATAAAAGGTAAAACAATATCAGATTTGATTTTAACATTTTAA